TTAGATACAGCTTTGAATTGTTCTCTAAAAATGTGAGCCCATCAATTATCTATCTTATGCCACACAATAGTTGCCGATTTTCATCACTGGGTGTTACTTGTGACTTCATTAAACGAACGACGCAGCTAAAGTTGCGACGATAAGTGAAGGACGGAATTCAAAAATAAGGTTGGATAGAGGGAGTTGTGGAATATTTTTCAAAATTGTGAGATTATTCATTTATTTATTTATTCATTTCGTCATCTACCTCAATTATCTTCCTAATGATTGTATTATTCTCGCTTCTGGTTTTCTAAATTTCAAGATGGTGACTTTCGTTTATAAAATAAACTGATAAATATAGGTATTCAGGTATGTCAGATACTTTTTTTTTTGTTCCAAAATGGTGACTTCTAATTTTCTGAATTTTTTACCAAAATGTTTGACTCCATTTTGGATTTTAAAATGGCAATTTCCGGCTTTAATATACTGTTAAGGACCCTACATGGGATGACTATAGAGGCCGGAAATCGTTGTATGACTCCATTTTGGAATTCAAAATGGCAATTTCCGATTCTAGTAAAACATTCAAATACGCAATATCCACGATATTTGACGGAAATCCAGGGAAGCTTCGAGAGCTACAGAAAAGCGAGAGCTTCAATGCAGTCCCGAGAACTGGGTCATTTTGAAATTTTCAGAGATGAAGAATTTCAAAGAAAATCCTAAATCTTCATTGACATTAAGAATACTTCGTGATCTAATAATTTAAGGGAGTTAAAGGCGAGCATTTCGGGAAGTTGGATGATGTCAATTGATTGGAATGAGGAAGTACCTGGAGAGATCCGGATTATGTGGGAACGTTTTGTGGACCTATCATCGTTAGCCAATTTTCGGATTCCACGGTTTGCCTTTGACGTGGGGGAAGTGCAGCTGCATTGCTTCACGGATGCGTCGGAGTCAGCTTATGGAGCTTGAGTTTATGCACGGACTAGCAGGTGAAGGTGATGTTACTGGCAGCGAAATCTCCATGGTGGTTGTAGAGTGGCATCTCTACAGAAACGTAGCTTCCCGAGACTGGAATTATGCGCCGCTCAACTTGGCGCTCGATTATCTTCTAGAGTCATCACTGCACTGAATATGGAATCAATTCCTGTTTTCTATTGGACTGAATCCATGGTGGTTGTATATTGACTTCGTGCACCACCACAGACCTGGAAAACATTTGTGGCGAACCGTGTAGCAGACATTCAAACCCTAACGAACAATGCTTCATGGCTACACGTACCCGGTGTGGATAACCCAGCCGATTTAGTATCCCGAGGAATGACTGTGCCGCTGTTCTTGACCAGCAAGAATTGGATACATGGACCCGATTGGTTGAAAAGAAGAGAGGAATATTGGCCTAAATTGGATACCCCGAGAACAACACATATTGATGGAGATACTGAGCGGAAAACAATCACATTGCTGATGCAAAATCTACCACCACTAAACCCTTTGTTTACTCGATCGTTTTCTTACAATCGTCTATTGCGTACGACTGCGTATTGTTTGCGATTTATTCGTCATGCAAGAAAGGGAATGAAAGAAGCTATCATCACCCTTGCTCTCCTAGTGAACTTGAAAATGCAAGGGATTGTTTGGTTAAGATTGTCCAAGCTGACTGCTTTAAATCCGAGCTGAGTCTGCTCAAAAAGAGAAAACCGGTATCCAAAAGCTCCTCACTCACACTTCTGAACCCTTTCGTGGATTCATCGAGGATAATCCGAGTCGGTGGCCGGCTCAGACTGTCGAAGGAGTCTTACAGTACTAAACACCAAATTCTACTACCTGATTTCCACCGATTCACTAGAATGCTTTTGATGTCATACCACTGCAAATTGGTTCATGGTGGAATATCGCTCATTTTGGGAGTAGTCCGTAACGAATATTGGCCTACAAATGGAAGAAGGGCTGTACGCAGCGTAGTACGAACTTGCTATCGTTGTACTCGTGCCAACCCTCACCCACTGCAACAACCTGTTGGACAACTACCCCTTGCCAGAATTACCCCAAGCCGCCCTTTCGCATCCACTGGAATCGATTATTGTGGTCCTGTGTTGGTTAAGTCCGCCAACCGCAAGACTGCTCCTACAAAAGCTTATATTGCCATATTTGTCTGCTTCAGTACAAAGGCTGTACATATTGAGTTGGTGGGAGATTTATCCACACCTTCGTTTCTGTCTGCTCTTCAACGCTTCGTGGCTAGACGAGGTAAGCCCACCGATGTTTATTCGGACAATGCCACGAATTTTGTCGGCGCCAAAAATGAGCTGCATGCCCTTTACCAAATGCTCTCCAATACAAACGAAACTACTCGAATTGCTACCACCCATGCAACTGAAGGAATACGATGGCACATGATCCCACCTCGTGCCCCAAACTTCGGTGGTCTATGAGAGGCCGCTGTGAAGGTGGCGAAGAAACATCTAGTTCGTCAGTTAGGCAACACATCTCTACTGTACGAGGACCTAGTGACGATACTGTCGCAGATTGAAGGAGCCATGAACTCAAGGCCATTGGCACCGTTGTCAGAGGAGCCTAATGACTTCGAAGCCATCACTCCAAACCATTTTTTGATTGGCTCACCACTTCTGGCCCTCCTCATCCGGATTTGAAGGACGTTCCGGTAAACTGACTGAGAAACAGGTACCAAGTAACTTTCAGTAAAACTTCGAAACTGCAGGTTAGCATTTTACCAAATACAATTTTCTTCTAAAAACTGACTTAAATTAATTACGGTATCGACTTTTTAGTCAGCGGCGCCGGTGGTGTAGTGGTAAGCGTGATTACCTCTCATCCCAGAAGGCCTGGGTTCAATCCCAGTCGGCGCCGCCGAGATGTTCTGAGGCATGAAATCTGATCACGCCTTCCTTCGGAAAGGCCGTTGGTCTCCGGATCATGAGTTGATGGGTCGATATGTAGGATCCAGGTTAGGGAGCTGCTTCCCTGGCGTTGGTAGCATTGGTTCTCAGCACGGAAAACAAGTTTTATGCGAAAGTTAGAAGATACTGAGAGGTAAGCAAATACCACTGGTAAGAGAAAATTTGCGAAAAAAAAGCTAAGGGTGGTGGGATTCACACCCACAATTCCCATTCAAAACACGGGCGCATTGCTAATTATACAACGGTAGATCTATGACTAAGATAACCTTCTTAAAGTTCTCGGAAGTACCGTAAGTTCTCTTAATTTTACAGAAGTATTCGTAACTCTCTAGAAAATTCGTTTGATGTTCTTTGAAAATCTTGGACGTATTGAACACTTTAAAAGTTTCTTGAACATCCCTGAAGTTCTTAGAAATTTCCACTGAAGTCTCCGTAGCTAATTTCAAGTTTCCATAACATTCCTCAAGTATATGGTACGTCACTGAATCTCACGGAACTTTTCTAAGTGTTTCGACACTTCCCTTAAGTTCCAGGCATAAACAAATTCTCTAAACTTCGCTGAAAATCGAAGAGTAGTCAAGTTGTTCTCGGATGTTCTCAGACATTTAGGAAAAGTCAATGAATTCTCGGACTATACCAGAAGTACAAGAACTTCGTAGAAGATTCTAGAAACTACAGAGCTATCCGGAAAACTCAAAAACTTAACTGAAGATCTAACAACTTCGTACAAATTCCGAGAACTTCCAACAAATTCATAAAATTCCGAGAAATTCCCAGAATTTTCGAAAGCTTCCCAGAATTACTGAGAGCTTCCACAATTTCTGAGAACTTCTCAAAAATCCTTGAACTTTGTCGAAAATGTAAGAACTTCTCAAACATTTCAAAAATATTATTGAACTTTCCAGAAGTTCCGGTTACCATTCAGAAGTTCTCGGAACTGCATAGATGTTCCAGGAACTTTCCATACATTTCGATAGCTTCACAAAACATACAGCAACTTCCCAGGAGTTCTGTATACTTCTCACAAATTCCGAGTACTACTAGATCTAGATCTTGTAGATCTCGGAACGTCCATGAGACATTTGAACTTCTTAGCAGATCCTAGAACTTCCCAGAAATTTTTAGAATATTCCAAAAACTCCGAGAATCTCGTTGAAGATCTCAGAACTTCTCAGGAATTCTAAAAACTTCCTAGAAGATCTGAGTTTTTCCCATAAGTTTTGTAAGCTTTCCAGAATTTACTAAAGCTTCCCATATATTCCGAAAATTTCTCAGAAAATCTTGGAACCTTCCAATAAATTCTGGAAAATTTCCAAAAATTCCGAGAGCTTTCCAAAACTTCCAATAACTTCCAGAAGATTCAAGAAATTCGCAGAAATTCAGTGACATTTCCAGAGTTTCCAAGAATGTCCCCAATAGATGCGAGATCTTCCTAAAAATTTCGAAAACTTCCCATCAGTTCCAAGAGCTTTCCATAATTTCCGAAAACTTGTCTCTCTTAGAAGATTTGCGATTTTGACAAAACAAAAAAATCCGGGAAGTTGCTAAACATTCTGATGGTTTCCCAAGAATTCCGAGAATTGCTCAGAATTTCCGACAACTTTTTCTTAGATATGTTAGATTAGGTTGAATGACATTGTTATTTGAAATAATTAGAGGCCACTTTTGACCAAGAGCTTGCGACTCTGTTTAGCTATGTCATACGTAAGGGGAATGGCTCTTATGTTGGCCTATGGATCTAAGATTGGGCCCATCGCTAATAATCTGCTTTTTATCAATTTAATCTACAAAAACGCGTCATTGGGACGTTACTAATGGATATTTTTGGTCGCTATTGAATATTGAGTCGATTGCCGGCTTTAAGTATGGGCCCAAATTAGGGACATTTATGCCAACCTTACATCCATTTTCCCTATCATAATATTTGAAGATGATGGTTCAGCACTAACGGTGTTTTTCAATCCATTATCAAAAATCTCAGTACAACTAATTTGAGCTACACCCTCTAATATGGTTCGATTTTCTTCTTGGGACGATTATCCGATTATGTGTAGAATACCGTGGTCAAGCCCTGCCGGCGGCTAATAATCTTACCTTAGTATCAGCTGATGTAGACGTGAACGCTGTCCAAGCCTCCGAAGCGCCCGGCAGGCTCCGATTACCGATAATTGATGTGTTTCCATTATTTTAAGGCCTTCCTGGTACTGGACAATGGCCTCCGGTAGCAAATCTGAAATTCATTGGATCAAACGTTCAATGACGATGGACGAAGGCAGAGATAGAAAAAGAGGGAGTGAAAAATCACCATTAGTTTGGCTACGAATAATTTCCGGAACTAAATATTTACACACGAAGACACGGTCAGAGCTCTCAATCTGTGCTCCACTTCACAAGGATACAAACTCTCACCCCAAAAGGAAACACTCTATGCAGCAGAAATGGATTCGGAAAGGATATGTGTACTTTGGACAAAGTGGATGATTTCGAATGGATGTCCACTTTCATCGCTCTGGACAGCAGCTGTGGTGCTTCTGACAAAGGAAAAGGATGAAATGCTGTGATGATGCATCCAATCTGAACAAACAGATTTGGCAAATAAATCAATATCGATGAGTTGTGAAATAACAGCAGAACTTATGCATGGCGTCTCTCTCGTGTATTCTGATCGATACAATTGTTATCTGAGAATTGAGATTTCTCTATTTGGTTTAGAAAATATCAAAATTGATTGTAAAAGTGGGAAACCCATATCGACTTCCGATTACAAATCCATTTCCACATTGAAACCGCTTCCCGGAAGCAATCATTCGAAACATTCATCACTCAATAACTCAGCGTGTGCGCAATAGGTGCCCTCACAGAGGAAACCACCGGTTAAACAATTTGAATAACTTACTCTGTTCCGTCAGCCAGTCACCGTACTGCCGGCGTAGGTCAACGTCGTACGGATTCAGCTGGACCACGCGCCGCAGCAACTGGCCGGCCTTCAAACCGCTGTATAATTTCACTAATTCCAGATAAGCCGCGGTGAATAGTGGCTCCAGCTTGATGCACCGTTCCAGCATTCGGACGGCATCCGAGGTCCGGTTGGCTTTACTGCTTGCCCATTCCAGGATGACCGCCAGGGTGGATGTCACAATCATCGTCAATGGATACGGATGTGGATGGAACATGGAATGAAACAAACATCGTCTGATTAGAAAGTTGGATTAATATCGACGAAAGTGGCATTTCAACGACGAGCTTATATGAGTTGATTCGTTGGGCAGTGGATGGATGTTGCTAGCGGACGTTCTATGTGGGCTATCAGATTTTTATTACAGTTTCGTTGTAACCAACATTTCACTTTCCTGACTTGGCTAGGTGGGTTAATCATGAAAAAGTTACTTTCAACAGAGCGAGCTAATCATGACCACAAACTTCTTCAGATACACCCAGAAACCTACAACATAATTCGTTTTGACGTTATTAATAAAATGCATATTTTAGTGCTTTTAAGCCATTATGCACCGTGGAGTGCTACAGCAGCACACTTGTCACAAAGTAGTTGTGGTTACTTTTATGTAACTAATTTCAGTCACAATAAAGTTGCAGCGACTTATTACGACTAAAGTATAATGCTTGGGTGAAAAGGAATCGACGCAAGAGACGTCTTTCTGATATCGACTTTATTAATAATTAAACTCTTATTAAAAATTGTAATTACAATGAACGATAAAAACATTATTTCAGTAGAAATGTTGTCCAGTACATGATACACATCCGGAAAAGATAAAGCTCATAGGACTTTATCGTAAAAACAATCAAGATGATCTATACCTTAGTCCAGTTTCCGAAACTTGCTTGCTCATAGAACTGCCCTTAACACAGTTTGAAAAAGTAATGTAAACTTATTTTCAAATGGATCGTCAAATATCATATAAGTTTACATTATAAATCGTGTAAATTTCTGAGAAATTTCATGAAATGTTGAAAATATGGTATACAAAAGCCAACAATATTGCTTAAAAGTTGCTTGTATGCGAGAAATGAAATACAAGTTTAAGTTAATAAATGTTTACATCACAATTAAAATTAAGAATTTTTTGCTGTGAAGTTTTCGGAGTTTCCTTTATGAAGTGTATTACTTGTTTCCATGTAGTTTTCGTTCGTCGTGTTTCTTGCGAAACCGAAGTGCCAAAAACATCGAAAATGTTAACATAAATATGAACTTCAGTTGAGCCGATAGCTCAGTCTTGATCTGATCAGTAAACTGAAAAATTGTTTTCAATAAACGGAAGCAATCTTACATTTGGAGGCGAGTTAAAAAAAAAAATAATAATAAAAGTTTTCTAGTTTCACGCGTAGCTGTGCGTGACGGTGTCAGCGAGTGCTCGTAGTGAGGAAGAGTTTGGTCAGCGGAACAGTAGGAGCGTTTTCACGGAACCGAGTCGGACGCCATCAAGCTAACCCCATTTGCTTTGTTGCTGCAAGGTGTGAACGGAGGAAGCTATTTCAACAAAACCGAAAGTGGCGGGCCGTTTTTGTCATTGTTGCAGTCTGGTGTTTTTACTTACGGTAAATCGTAAGTAGAGTGGTATCCGAAAGTGATTTGGAGTTACTGCCTAAACAGTTAATTTCCTGCCGGCAGATTTCTTGCCGAAGTGGCGCCGGTGGTGTAGTGGTAAGCGTGATTACCTCTCACACCAGCAGGCCTGGGTTCAATCCCAGTCGGCGCCGCCGGGATGTTCTGAGGCATAACATCTCTGATCACGCCTTCCTTCGGAAGGAAAGTAAAGCCGTTGGTCCCTGGTTCATGAGTTGATGGGTCGATAGGTAGGGTCCAGGTATGAGAGCTGCCTCCCTGGCGTCGGTAGCATTGGTGCTCAGCACGGAAAACAAGATCGACGGAAAACAAATCAAGGAAAAAAAAGATTTCTTGCCGTTTCTCTGCTAGATCGTGTGGAGATGACAGAAGTTGCCTTCATAGTGCGCAGTGGAAATAGTACAAAGCAATGTTTTGTACCGTACTTTTAAGTTGGTTTATACCAGTTTGATATTTGGGCAAGAAAGATAAAAGAATTATAAATTGTAGAACGATTCGTGAAATATTGTTACGGCTTGTGACTGAAGAAGTAGTGTAGTACCAACAATCAATACGAAACTATCGATTTGAAATTGGCTCACTACTTGACTAGCCTACTGGTCCCAAGCAAACGATTAACGTATCCCATTCTAGTCGGAATTCTACTACCACACTATGTTTGTTTTGATTCTCTATGAAAGTTTGACAGTTAAATTGAGGGATTCGTGGATTTTCTAATGTTTTGAGGGGTGCATCGATTAGCTTGGGACCGAAGATAGTACCAGAGCTGAGCGAAAAAGTTGAGCACGTTTCTTCGGGACCTTTACTAGTCTTAGAGTTACCTCTATGATAGTACTGTACCTTTTTATAAGACTGTTGTTTCTTCTATTCAGTTTAGGCGGAAGGCAGGCAATCTATGGACTAAAACTTGCTTCTTTGTGAGCTTAGAACCTGATGTCCTCGAGTCACAAATTGTGTGGTAAGAGGTTGGCCGATCTCACAGGGGACCCACAGCTTCTGAGCGACGATTTTCGGGTTGGCAAAGGTCAAATCATCGAACGGCAAGTCAGACATTTTGTGCTACCTTTGTATGCCAATGAGGAGTTTTTTTTGTGGAGACATCCATCTTATTGTTTTGTATTTAATTTTGTTCTTGTTCTTTTTTCTGTTGCCATTTTCCTTGATCTTATTTTTTATTGTTTTGATTGAATATTGGAATATAGTATCAAAGCATTATAATATGAATTCTTCCAGTATTGCTTGCACTATGGACCCTTACCGGGTACTAGTTTTAATGACTGCCCTAATAAAATTTTTATGGTTATTTTGCTTAACGAAGTGTTCAGGGTAACATCCAAACTAATTGTAGAATAGTTAATAAAGTGAAAGAGGAAGACAAAATGGCTTATTTTGTCACTCTTAGCGGACCGGTAATGTTTGATGAAATCAAGTTATTTTAACCGGCTGGAAATTTTCAGGAGGCAGCTTTTAACGATTTAATTACTAAGTTGAAAAACAGGCTGTACAGGACTGACCCAGATCTGGTCCAGGGATATAAATTTAGTACCAGCATACAAAACCCTGATGAAACGAGACGACAGAGAATTTCATATCGGGCCTTATTACGGGTGTCACTACACGGTGATAAGGAAGTGATACTCAGAATAAGAGCCGGTGCCTGTGGACTTGGAGACATACTTCAAGTCCCCGCGTACATCGTACGGGTTAGGCAAAAATGTGCGTCTATCTTGAAAAACTGTCGCATTAATGGCCCTTCGCTCATTTTCAACTTCTATTCAATTTTCATACTGCCGTACTCTAACGGAACTATCCACCTACCCTCTTCTAAAGATCATTCTCTAGCTAATAAATCATCACACTAAAGCTTCATGTTAGCATTTATTATTTCTGGGCTTCTCTTGAACGTCCAGGATTTTTTATAAACTTCCTGCAATTTCCCTTATATTGATTATATTTCTTTTTGCCGTTTACGTGCGCTTTTAGAATAGCATCTCAACAATTGATTTTATAGGTACTATATATAGATCGAATCGAAGCTGGCAGCACCCTCTCAGATTTCAATAAAATTTTCTGGATGTGTAGACTTTGACTAAATAAGTACTTTTGCATACTCAGTTTTTCCAAAATTTATCTAGACTAACATTTGAGAAGGGCCAAACTTTTTCTGCCGATTTTTTTCAAAAAAATATTATTGAAAAATGACAACTCCAACAAAAATATATTGAATGGATGACTTTTAAGAAATTAACCAAATTATCGAAAAAAAAAATACTGGAAAAAATTCATTTTAAACCTACACTGAAAAAAAACGATTTTTAAAATTTAAAGTCGATTTAAAAAAAATGGCCATGTTTGATTTGGTTGAAACTTTGCCTCAAGATAGGTAATTATGTTTACTACCTTCTGTCCATACATTGCGAGATGGGCACTTTTAAGGAAAAAAAGTTTTTCTTACAAAAACTTTTTCATGTCTGAACTGATTTATTTTTATTTGCCATTTTCACACAAAACCAAACCAGTGAAGCTCAAAATCATCTCAGAATCCAATGAAGCTCAATTTGCGATTCAATTTTGTCTAATCAGCACTTAAGTTCACTTTGATTAATCGAGAATTTCATATGAAAAGGGCTCATGATGCATATCTCGCCGAATCGTATTTGGAATCGGCAGCACCCTCTCAGAGTTCAATAAAACTATTTAGACATGTTGACCTTATCAAAAAAAAATCATTCCCTTATTCTGTTGTCTATTACTGATGCAAAATTTGATAATATGTGAGAGAAAAAAGACAAGATTTTTCATATATCATTTATTTATATATTTTCAATGTTTTAAACCTATTTTCATACATGCTATTTGTTTCCTTTTTCCAATCAAGCTAAATATTTTTGGTTCATCTTCTGAATTAGAATACCTTTTTGCCGCTTAATTGATCATTGATAATTGATAATGATCAACAGTTTAAGAATTATGTCACAAGATGCAATAATAGAAAAAAATGCTTTGTAATATTTCTACTAGAACAACTGATTGCTTTTTCCGTGCTTGCGAAAAGTGTGCTTCCAATGAACATTGTGAAGAGAAACTTACTTTGCTATTAGAATCAAATGACAAACAAGATGTTGTGTTTCAACAGTGGCTGAATACTGATCGTTGTAATTTGGAAACGATTATCAAGCCTGTTGATGAATTTGTTCCGTATCTCATTGATAAAATTAACATACTTATAACTCATGACTTTATTTAACAAACAACAGTCATATTTTCTAAGAAATAAAAAAGAATCATCAAAAGAAGGCGAAATTCTAGTAATTTGTGATTTTTCTGAAAGTTATTCATTCATTATCTAAAACGTAAACTTGAAAATATTAGCTTCATTATCATATCAGAAGTCATGACTCACGATACAGTTGCAGTTCAGTTGTTCATCTCTAAAATGATAGATTTTATTAAACAATCGATAGATTTTTCTAAAATTACTTTTATGTCAGATGGGGCAGCATCACAATAC